CAATATATATGTGAGTGGAGGTAATGTACTGTATCGGAAGTTATAATTTTCCTACACTGAAAATGTATTTCCGATAGGTACTTACCTCCACTTCCCACCCTTCCTCCCCACTGAAAACTGGTGCTTCCATTTTCACCCAACACTCGAAGTGATAGTTTGGTAGAATTGAATAGAGGGAGTCACATGCATCAAGAGAGTGTGTTGTGTTCTTATTGGTAGAGGGTCGTTGCATGATAATTTGCATGCGAGACACATTGGAATTAGTCAGTTTTAGATGTGTGGGAGTTTCAAGGCTTGTGGTGTGCACACAATTTTTTTTTGATATAATGGCCAAGACTGAATAAGAATAGTTATTTATGTGATAATTTTTTTTTAGATATAATTGGCAACACTGAAAAAGAATAGCTATTTATGTGAGGGGAGGTAAGTACCTATCAGAAATACATTTTCAATATAGGAAAATTACAACTTCCTGCACATGTAATATGTTCTTTTGTCCTGATTTCAACTGTTTTTCTATTTCACAAGTATCTAAAATGACTCTTTATAGGATAGTTATAAATGATTAATTAACTGTGTAACATTGTAATTTTAAAATTTGTAATAAAATACACAGATATTGTTTCTCCAATGTCTAACTTCCTAACCATGGTTTTTAATGTTTATATACTAACTTTGAAGTGTATATAGCTGACAGAAAAGTAAACCTTATTCTTTATGTGAAGAGAAAGACAGGAAACTAAATTTTTTAGAACTTAGATGGTTGGCTGAAGGTTACCATTAGGGAGAAAAAAAGAGGAGATTAACAGTTGTGTTCTCTCTGTATTGGCTATTGTAATTTTAGGATGAGATATCATTGCATTTTGGTAACCTTAACCCTCTCGCCCCTGGTACCAAGGGAATTTGTCTACTTTTTGCATGTTATTAGTCTATATTCTTTGGTGTATTACTATCTATAGGATACAAAATTAGGGTTAACTCTCTTCGAAACCCGACAGCAAGAAAAAAGAAGACTAGGTAAGTACTATATTTCTTGTTTTTCATATTTATTCTTTATTTACTATTGTAAAAATAACTAAAATCTAAAGGTATGGATCTTTTTAAGTTATTTAAGACTATATTAG